TGCCTTTGTAAGAAAACGGCTACTGGGAAAGGCATTTGAGAACAAAGTGGGCTAAGGAGCAAATAGTAGTAATTCTGTCTGTTGTTGTTACATGGGGCTTGCTGGGTACCTGTCTAACATTTTAATTTTAGCAAGGTTTAGTTGCAGCAGTGTGATTGCAGGGCATGACAAATAAGTATAAGGAAGATAAAAATAAAAAAACCCCAGCACCACCCTAGTGTCTGCATATATTGAAGTGGCAAATGCAAATACATTTTAAAAAAAATTTAAAGTTACTGAATTATGGTCATACTGTGCAGCATCCCCAAATGTAATTGCTCTGTAACATCAGGATTTGGTTTTGTTTAGTGAGAACAATACTTGTCCAGCAGAGCAGTAATAGCTCAGTAGTTTATCTTTTAAAAGGAAAAGGTATCCAATCATTGTCTCATATTTTGCAGTAAGATTCTTGGATTTATGAAGAACAAAGATCTCCCGATCACTGAGGCAGTATTCAGTAGCCTTCTGAGAGGTCATGCAAGATCAGGGTAATGTTTAATACCTTATTTCTCTTGTTTTCTCTTAGCTTTACTTAAATATAAAGTGATACTGTGCAGAAAAATTACGTTCTGCAGAATAGTGTGATGATTTTGGATAATAATGTATAGAAGACTGTCCTTTTATACATTTTTGAAGCAAAGCAGCTATTTAACAAAGGAAGTAGATTTTTTTCTTGTTTCTGAAAATCTTGAATTTCAAAATAAATTACTGTACTTTTGTACTGTTTGAAAAAAAAATTGCTGCACTTAGTTCTGAACTTTATCATCTGTTAAAGCTGAAAGAGTATTTTAAGTAATACAATAATTAAAAGATTTGCACTCTTCACCTTTCAGGATTTGCTTAGTTAAAACAAGTTCCTCTATGGTTGTTGCAGTCTTTGTTTCCAATTCTAATTAATTTAGTGAAGAAATGCCGAAGTTGCAATAAATGTCATTATGATTAAATGTACTGAGGTTCTTTCTTCCAATTCTTTTAGAGATATGAAGAGTGCAGAAAACATCCTTTCAGTGATGAGGATGGCTGGTGTTGAACCAGGTCCAGACACCTATTTATCACTGCTGAATGTTTATGCTGAAAAGGGTGATGCTGATAGCATCAAAAAGGTATTGCAAGTCTGAATTTAAATACAATTTGTTTGATCTTTTTTTTCAGTGTAACTTTGGAATGCTTTCTATCCATGCAGGAGGAATGATGCTGCATTTTATAATTATTTCCTCTCAATCTGCCGCAATTAACAAGTTTATTTTTTATTGCATCTGAATAGCTGGTTAACTGAAAGCAATCTCATCCTTTATGAAAAATACTTGTCTTTTGATAGTGGCATTTAACTCTGAGAAGATACGTTTGTCAGTGAGTGATTTAATAATTCAGGTTTTTTTCCTTAGGGATGAATAGTGCATGCGAGATGTTTATGTATTTATTTATAAAAGTAAAAAGTAAACCTTGATTATTCTGTTCCCATTGAGCCATTCTGTAGCTGCCACTGAAGCCACAGAATCTTTCCAGTGAAAATGAATTTCTGTGAGGGAGTTCATGCCAACAACTTAGGTATTCATAAGATAAGGCTGCCTTATAGCCCTTTGTGTAGGTGATTTTCTTCAAGTATTCTCTCTTACTTTTTTCTCAATGAAAGAAATATTCAGAAGGCAATGAGGAAAGAAAATTGGTTTAACTTTAGTAAGTAGTATCAGATGTAGAGGACCAAATCAAGGAAGAGGATGTGGGAAACAAAATTTTGTTCTGTGGCTTAAAAATGAAACAAATATTCATCAATCAGCATTCTTCCAAACAGTAACAAAAAGTTTGATTAGTTGTTCTTCCCTTTGCAAAGTAATTTGTTTTGAAAGTCATCTCACAATGAGAATACCTCTGGTGTTTTCATGTGCTATTAGATATAGGTCTTAAGGTGTTTGAGGCCCTCTCAATAGATCTTGGGTGTTCTTTCTCTCTTCCATATTCCATGTATCTAAACCTGTGGTTTAGGGAAAAATATGGAAAAAAAACCCTCAGATTTTTTTGTGTTTGTTTTATTTTATTTTTTATCTTAAATGTATTCTATTTGGAGTAACTTTGGAGTTTATTTAAATTATATTTATTGTGGTTTACAGACTCTAGAAGAGATTGAGAAGACTGAAGGTTACCTTATGGACAGGACGTTGATGCAGGTCATTTTCAGCCTTGCCAAGGCTGGATATCCACAGTACATTGAGGATATTAAAAACCGTATAAAATTTGAAAGGGAATTAATTCCAGGTATGTCTCGGTTCCTACGGCAGGGTGGAGTGGGGAAACTTTTTTTTTTGCGTTTTATTTTTTTTCAAGAATACAGAAGGAAAAGAATATTTTTGCCATTAGTTTGTGAAGCCGTTTGTGCTGGTTTAGATTGCATTTTAGAAAATTTAATTACAAACCAGTTTTCATCATTTACATGCAAAAAACAATCTGTCAATTCTATTAATTTCTAAAACTCATTAAGATTTTATAGGAAAGCAGCAAGTGTGGAGTCCTTTCTTCAAACACCGCTGTTAAAATTCCTGTTGTGACATCTCTTTGTCATTAAAAAGGATACTAGATACTGAATATAGTTTTTTATTACCTACATTTAAAGTCACTTTTGGATCCCAGTGTGCGTAATCTGATTAATTATAATTCATCCATTTTTTTCTTTTTTCACATGTCTAGAAATGTATTTCTCTTATTGAGTATCCTTATGTCATGCTGCAGTGGTGATACTTCTGTAATTTTGGCATAGTCTTCTAATGGGAAAAGTGAACTTCATTGGTAAATATAAATAATTCTGGAAAAGGCACTCTCAAATTTTATGGGTTAATCATGTTTAAAAGTGTGTTAATGGTACTTGGAAAGCATTTACTTTCCTGGCTTTCACTAGTTTTAGTAATTTAATGTGAAGCAGTTATGTGCCCTTTCTAAATTTTGTTCTCTGTTTTTCACCTGCTAGATGCAATGAACCTGTGTTTGACTCTGATAACTCACGGCTTTGAAGATATTAGCTTCAGTATTTTGAAGTCTTTTAGTAATGTATCACGTGATAATGTGGACCAGGGTAGCTTCTTCTTGCAGCATTGTGTAAATAGAGATATGGTAAGCAGAATAATAATACTTTTTTCTTAATATACCAATAACAGTGTTTATTTCATTTAGTGTAACTGTGAAGATTGAAAAGGGTAGGTTTTTTTTCCCAGTTCTTCAAGAGCAGAAGAAGAACTTTATTATTTCATTCCAACTTGCATAGTAAATTGAAATTCACAAAGGGATCATGTTTGTCATGTGTAATACCTGTTTTCTAAATATTACAAGAGTCTGACATTCTTAACAACCTAAGAAATTGGAAAATACATGAAAATGATTTTTGAAATTCTTTGCAGCCTCTGAGCAAGCTGAAGCAGTTCTGTACTGAGTTAAAAGAAACGAAAATGCACTCGGCGCCGTTGACATTTATTTTGCGCTGTGCTTTGGAGGCCAACAAATCAGGTACTCTGCTTGTTTACTTACTTTAGGTATGCTTGCTTAAAGTACTTGGTCACCATTTAATTATTTTGTGAATGTTTTCAGCCTTGGCCATTGAAGTGATGAAGATGATGAAAGAGGAGGGCTTACCACTCAGACCTCACTATTGCTGGCCACTGCTAGTTGCGCACCAGAAAGAGAACAATCTTAAAGGTGAGTTGTCTGACAAATGCTCCTGTAGCATTACTACAAACCTGGTGCACAAATCTTTTATTGTAACAGTGCTACGAGATTCATCAGACTCGTGAAAGCAAACCAAGACTCTGCTGCATGTCTGTCCTTGCTGCAAACGATTTTCCTTCAGAAAGACCTATTTTATAAACCTCCTTACTTGATGGTGATACAGTTCTACAAATTTCAAGTCTACCTTTGCATGGAAAGGTGTGAGAGAGTTGTATTTTTAACTCTTCACTCTCTTTCTGCGTTCCACTGGTCCTTTTTGCTGCTCATTACCTTTTAGAGTTTACTCCTGAAGAAACTAAAATCCAAGCGAAGAATTTAAAAGTAAGGTTATGTTTTAATAGCTCTCTTGTACTGCAAACCCAGTGCTTTTTTCAAGCCAACTCCTTATTGTCTGCCCGATAAGCCAAACGTGAGTTTTGTTACAATCATAAAAACTGCAGGAGAACTTACATTGCTGAATGTGTGAGCCTGACCTGACAGCATACTGATTGAAGGACAAAAATGCTCAATCTTTGGGACTCTTAAGTAGGTTTAAGCATTTAGCATACTTTCCCCTGTTACACATGGGGATGTCTACAGGCTATGAATAAGAATTGAACAAATATTAAATTTTAGAGTACAGTATCTAATTCTTTGGTTTGCGTTATTGGTAATTCAGAAAGAATGGTATTGTAAAAAGATGCTTTTAACAGAAGTACTTCCCCCTTGGGGAAACAAAAAACTGTCTTTTTCATCTTATCTCACAGTATAATGTGCTTTAGAATGAGATGCAGAGTTGTTAGTGTGACACTGGGTGACAAACAAAATGCACAAACAAAAAAAAAGTGCTTTTAGCAGTCTCTTCATATCGCAATTTTATCTTAAATATACAGTCACATTCCAGTTTGGAAGAAATGCTGAAACAAGTATTCCCTAATTGTTTCTGGCTATAAAAATGTCTCAAGCCTTTTTCAAAAAGCCTTTATGAAAACAATATTCAGTTTTTATTAACTCCTTAGGCTCTGTTCCTGCTAGACTACTTCGCAAGTTTATCTTCTCCCCGGTTTTCAAATCCTTGAAAGTTCCATGATATTTTAAAAGTCTGGTAATGTTGCGTTAGCTGGGTCCTTTGTGACTTACTTGAAGTAAAATGTTGCCAAAAATAAGTAAATCAAAACCAGTGTCATACTTCTCCATACAGATGCTGCCTACTGAAAAAAAATGTTTACTTTTACTCTGTGGAAAATTTCACCTACTAACACAATTCTAAGAGACATTAGAAGTATTTTTAGATTTAGACTCTACTCCCAAAATTGAAACCAGATTTGAGTGTCAAGAGAACCTTAAGTTTTTGTGTTTCTTTTGGTCTTTGTCAAGAGCTGAGATTGCCTTAATTTGGACTTCCTACTGTAGAAATCAACTATGCCTTGGCTGGTAGTCCCTGCTGAAAGTCATGTAAGCAAATTGAGAAGAAAACTGATGAAGGAATCCTCAATTCTAGCATTTTTAGGCATTTTCCATTGAGCCTTCCTTTTTCTATCTGCAAAGGCATTGGATACATAAACTTCTGTGTAGCTGTAAGATAATACTGTGCATTTGCAAACACATTTTTGTAGCCTGTTACTTAGTGTCCAGGTTTGTATTGTCAAGAGGAAACATTGCTCCTTAAGTAGGTACATACCTACTTAAAAAAGTCAGGGATTTTGCAATTCTTAAAACACTTAAAATGAGATAAGGAGGTACCTAATGAATTTCTTCTGTAGTCAAGAGTCAGTGTAACTATTCTTGCTGCAATGAAACAAGTTGTCTTCTTTCCCATGTGTAAGTTTGCATTCAGTTTTTGAAAGTTAATAATCAAAACATGAATAAATGAGATACACTGTCTAAAAATACAACCAATACACTTGAAGAAAAGTAAATAGGGGTGAAAAAACATCCACTCAGAAGTGGTTTCAGAGAAATAATAGACCAAAAAATAATGCTGTAGGTGACAACAGATAGCAAATTAACAGAATGGTGCTTTCTAGCAGCTGAAAATAACAGAGCTGTGTGAACAGTAGAGACACTATCGCATCCCATACCAAAAATGAGGTAAGAATTATTTTCGTATCGCATCCTGTACCAAAAATGAGGTAAGAATTATTTTCTCAACCAAATTGAGAAAAAGGTAAGGCTGGAAAAGGAAAAGAACTTTGAGGAAAAAACTCTTTAAAAATCTGATAGTATGTAGACAGTGGACGAAATAATCATTAAAGAGCACAGAAAACTAAGCAACAACCTGTCTAGTACTGCAGGATACAAATGTCTGAATCAGTACACATAGTGTGGCCCAAACAATTATCTAGTGAGTAGCAGTGTCTAATTACACATTTCTCTAGTGTTTATTACAGCAAAAAACTGACACTGGATATCAAAGGGATTTCATAATTTCTGTGTTATGGAATTGAGTCTGAAAGAAAGGTAGCAATGAAGTGATGGCTAAGAGGAATGAAACTAAAGAAGGCCATTTTTAAATACACCTTAGCGAAACTAACTGCTCTGAAAAAGCAAACAGCTCTTTTCAGTCTTTTTACACAGGAAAATAATTTCAGGGTGAGCATTCTTGCATTGATGTGCATCTGTTATACAAGATAATAAAAACTTATTTCCTTAGTATATATCTGTGTAAATGGTGTTAGGCTTTTAGGAATGAAAAGTTCTTGCAGGGTTTGAAAGATCAATATGCCATGGATCTGAAACTGTTATTGGCACTGAGAGTCATCTTGTATCAGGTTATGCACTAAAACTAGGAGGGCCTAGTGTAAATAAGCAGAAACGTTTGTTTTACACTTGTTACTGGGTATTTTATAGCTCCCCTTAACATTTCAATGATCATGTTATTTTTAAAAACAGTTTTTTAAAGTCAGTTGTGTGTTCTTCTTTTGGGTTCTACTAAACTATTTTTTATATTGTTATATACACAAAGTATGGTGAGGGAATGGTAATTCAGTTTTTACTTTGGGAAATGAGAGTCTGGGTTCAGAGGGGAATAAGGGTGCTTATTTCACAAAGTAACTGCCTGAAATACTGTTTTATAGACAGACCTTTCTGACAAAGAACATTTTAAGTGCATCTGAAATTACCAGCACAGCAAAAATATGTTAAATACTATGTTTTCCCAAATGTGACCTCACTTTTCAAGCTGGAGTTGTATTTGTTTCCCTAGAAAACTGCCAAATTTTACCGCCCTTGCACATGTAGAAGTCTACATAACTGCCTTAGAAATTACTCCTGTTCTGGTGGGACTGCTTTAGGGAGAAGGCATGACCTAACTGTGAGAAACTTAGGAAATGAAAGGTGCACTGAAATGCAAGTCTCCCTTTCCAGTTCTTGAAAAGCAGCATGTTGGTCTGCTCTACCACAGAAATACTATGACCATCTTGTAGTTCATCTCTTCTACATTTGTTCTTAGATCCACTGATTTTGAGGCTGGAATCTGTTCTGTTCTGTTGGGGTGTTTGAGTGCTGTTTCCAGTATTGACAAAAACCAACAGAAGTTTGGCTGTGTTTTGTTCCTTATTTCTGTCACGTTTCCACTCACTCAGTTACTTGATTCTATCCATCTCCTGCATCCTTATATGTATCAGCCCAAGATGTCAAAAAAACTGTTCTTGATCAATCAGGAACATGAGCAGAAGACTCCACTATGGGTTTTAGTCATGCCCAGTCTCCAAAAGGAGGGTTTGCAAAGCTATCCATTGGTCTGTGAGTGGGCAGTTAATTAATAAATATTAAATCCTTTTTTACTTTCTATTTTTCTATATGTTTTATAATGTCTATAATATATCCATATAATATTACATGTGTATACTTTCTAAATCAATATGTGTGTCTTGGGGGAGTGTTCTCAAAAAAGTTTGAGAGACTGGGGTTTTCTAGATGAACATGAATACACTTTTGTCTCTTTCTTTCTTTTGGTCTGTTCTTTGGTTTTGTGAGAGAGAAGAAGTTAGTTTATTTTCCAGTATGAGAAGCAAAGAATTTCTAAAAGTCCCCACACAATGCTCAAATCCTTTTTCATGCATGCATTTGACCATTTTATAGTATTTTAATTGAAATGGAAATGTTTCATTGCTTTGTATTGTGGAAGATGTTTATGTGAATGTAAAGTAGTTCTGCTCTTGGTGAAGTAGAAAATTATGCAAAATTTTAGAATTCTGTATTGGTTTTCTTAAATCTTCTCTCCCCCCCAAATTGTGCATCAGCCATCTTAAAAAAAAGGCTGCCACATATCTTCATGTTAAGTTTGTAACTACTTTGGTGATGTGCAGTATTGTTATGTTATTCCTCCTTACTCTGCATCTTGCTGTTGTGTTGGTGTTCTAATCCTCATACATGCCCTTTCTTGCTCAGGACCTGTGCCTTAGTCTGTCCTAGGGAATTGGGATCCTTAACAAACCTGTTTTCTACTCTGTTCTGGATACAAGTTGAAACTCAAATCTCTCAAGTTTACCACACCTTATTCACTGTGGGATCTAGTTCTTGGCCATCAAACTACTTTTTAGTGATACAGTTATTTTTGAAAAGGTTTCAGCATAAGAGGACTCAGTGTTTTTCTGGGAAGTGGAAAACATGAGATAGAAGATAGCTGTCAAAATTTGAAAGGTATCAAGCAAGACTTATTGTAATTAATTCTTTATTCATATTTTTGCAGATTCTGGTCCAAAATCAGAGTTTTGTTTAAGGCAAACTCGAACAGATGATGCGACTTTAATCTAGTGTGACTTGCCTGCATGTATTTTCAAGTGCTCAAAGGGAATTCACATTTGATTATTTGCACCATAGTGCACTGCATAAAATATTCATGGAAGTGTCACTTTTCCATAGGTGGCACTCCAGGGCAAAGACAGGGACTTTGGACATTTTTAAAGTAATAAGTATGAAATGCAAGTTGAAAAAAACATATGCTGTTTGGTACTGGTGTCCTGCAGCAACTGACAAATCATTTTTAGACCAGCAAAAAATGATTATACCTGTATTGGTTTTGACAGGGGTTCAGAGTTTGCTAGCTAAGGTTACTGTAAGAAGTTTCTGCAAATCAGAAGAGTGTGAACAATTAAAAAGCATGACGTGCTCTAAAACTACACTGTAGTGACTGAACTACTAAGGATTGGTATCTGCTCTCTTCAAATGCATGTCTGCAGAAGTGATACACAGTCTAGTTGTGTGAATTGATCTGAACCTGTAAAAGTTATAATGTGGCTTCACCAGGCTTGGGAGACTCCAGCCGTTCTCTGAATTTCCAGTTTGAAGTTGATATGTTCACAGAGTAATCAGCCTCTTTGATTACAAACATGCTACTTGTTCTAAAGAAATCTAGAGACAAATTTTGAATGCTTGCCTTGCTGAGCAGGGTTGGATACTGGGAACAAAGATAAGAAGACATGATGTATTGAAGAATGTGTTTGTGTCTTGAATTTGATTATATACTTTACATCAAATTTCAAATTTGTTTTTTATGCACAATGAACGGGCATTTTGATATACAGCTCTAAAAGATGTTTTTAAACATGACTAAGAGTAACTGTCATATATTCACTGTGTTAGAAAATAGCTTTGTATACTAGCAATTTCCAAACTAAAGAGTTTAATGGTTTTCATAGTACAGCACAGAACAGGAAGTTTAGTAATATACTTAAAGTTTCATGGTTAAGAATTCTATTAACACCAAAAATAAAAACGTGGGATATTTCATGGCAATTTGAAGGAGGGAAATCAAGGAGATAATTCCTTTTCTTTTTGAAGCAACATTTATTTTTCAGTGTTGATTCTCAAGTTTACGTTTTTCTTAGCCTTACCAATTTTGCCTTGATAGGTGTCTTTGAGGTCCTCAAAGTGATGCACAAGTTGGGGGTGGAACTTGATGCAGAAACGTACACAGACTATGTTTTTAAAAATTTTGCTGATACTGCAACTGCTCATGCCCAGCTGAAGGTGAGTTTACATTTAAAAATTTGTGAAAATGGCTATTGCATGGCTTGTTATTCTATGTTCTCTGTTAAGGCTTTAATCACAGTGTGCTCTAAACATGCACGTGGTATGATGAAGCCTCTTCAAAGTATTTAGATTACCTTTCAACAGTTGTTGCACTGATGTTTTGTTTACTATGTCATTCTCCTACTGCTTTTCTTTTTCTCCTTCAGAGCTAACCAAAATGTTTTGCTCCAGACTTAGTAGCTTTCTGTTTCCTGAAGTGAAAGACTAAATAAATGAATAGTGCCCTGTTTTTGTTTTTGTTTTTTTTTAAACTGAGTATTAGAAGTATTATAATTGTTTCTGATGAATTATTTTTTTTACTTGCTGAAGAATTGAGAATTGGAGGCGAAGTTCAATTGTCCCAGTCTTTCTGCCTTTGATGACTTTGTCTCTTGCAGTTGATATCAATACAAAAACTGGATAATTTTTGACCAGTAGCAACTTAGTTGGCTGGTCATGTAGACTTCTGCAGGGCACCTTCCGTGTTCCCAGCAGCTATCAGTACAAGGATGCCAGTGTCTGTTGGGAAGGAAGTGTTAAAGAATGCAAAGTATCAGAAGGTCTTCTCTGTGTGAAGTTCCAATGATTGATTGTTTTATCCCTAGGAAAACGACTGCCTGTTTGAAGGTGTTGGACTTGCTGTAGCGGAAATAAGAAGTGAAGCATCACAGGGAAGACTGGACAACGTTCTTTCTATATGTAAGTATTTTTCACGTTGTGTGTTACCATGTACTTGGCAGTAGTGTTGATTGGTTATAGGCTAAGAGATTTACAGGTATTCCTGTATGAGGTTTGAAGCTATGTGGGCAACTAGAGCAAAGCATTTGTCATGTGAGGTCCTCTATGATGAGATGTCAGACTGAAAGTACTAATTCTGAACAACATACCATGGTTAAATTCTTCTTTGGTTTTGAATCTGGCCCTAAGATTTACAGAAAAGATATTGGCAACTAGCAGCATTACTGTGATTGTGATAGGAATATGACACTTGTACTTTAAGGAAACTGTTTTGTTTTACCCAGTGACAGTTAGGTGGTCAGTGCTGGGATTACTTTCGTTTGCAGGATCAGTTACCACCGAATGCTAGACTAACAATATGGCTCTGAAGTGCTACAGAATTATTAATGAAGGAACCAACTTTAAAGAGCTGATTGGCGCTGACATTAACCTGAGGGTGTTCTGCTGATGTTGGTCATGGCCATTATGTGTATAAATGTGATCTGTTAATTAGGTGATGAAGTTGTAGCAGCAAGTTGAAGAGTTTTCTCCAAAGACTGTTTTAATGCTCAGTGCTTGCAAAAGTTAATTTACGTTGTTGACTGAATGGATGGGATCATTTGCTTGGTTAAGTAGGAATATTTGATTCTCTTCAAAATTTAAATACAGTTTTTATTTGCCTAGTATACTAAGACATTAATAAACCATCTAAATTTGGGCTAAATCCAATACAAAAAGATGTCTTTTTAAAACAGTTTTATGTGTCCAAGGTTCAGGGAGTAGCTTAAGCATTCTTTTACTGCAGTTGTCATTAACTGTTTTAAAAAATATAAAACTATGTAGTCTGTACACTGTGACTCTGGGAAGCTGCTGCATCGTAAATGAGAGAATTGAGTAGTTTACTAAGCAGTGATTTAATTTTGGTATTGGAGATGTATCAATTAGTGAATCTTTAAGATTCGCCTTACATTTTGCCATTATTTTGTTTTGTTTTATTATTCCCCCAAAAAAGCATATACCCAACCATTGACCGTAAGAAATGAAATGCTTAAAATATGCTTGATTTAAAAAAATTTTTTTAAAGATAACTGTTTATTCAGGGCAATAAAATTTCTTCTGAAAGGTGAAATAGTTGGGGTTTATTTCGCCTATGTGAAAAAGTAGACCCACCACTGCACACTCACTTTGGTTAACTGAAATGGTCAGGTTTTAATGTTTTGTAAACCACAAATACACTTATGCTTGGTATATAGTAAATGTATGTGATATCAGAAGTATGATACAGGCACATATAGTAGTCTGACTGTCATGAAATTAGTATCACAGTGTATTATTTAGCTGTTGTCTGTGAGTTGAATTTAAATCCTTTAGTGGTATTTCTGTTTACAAAGGCTGAGGTTAATAATTCATGGAGACATACAAAATTTCTTTGAACTTGTGCTTTAAAGGAAGGTACTCCGTAAATAGTTTACCAAGCTGAAATGAATGCTAGGTAAATCTAATTAGCACCTACGTAATGATAAGGCACAGATATTAAACAGCTGATTTTTTTTTTGTTGTTGTTGTGACTTTTCTCCTTTTTCAGTATTACAAAGAGGGAAAAATAGATGCAGTACGGAAAATAGTTTGAGATTGTCTCATCAGTGTAGTCAGAGGGGGCGAAGGTTGGTTATTAATGCTGGCTGCTATCTAGGTGTATTGATTCAGCTTCTCATGCCTTTAAATGTATAGATTTCTGCTACTGACAAGATGAAAACTACGAAGCATCAGCTGAGGAATCTGGGCACATAAGGCAGCATACATGAGAGCTGCTTTTTCCCTTTATCATGCCATTCCATTCCACTTCATTGTCAGCCCCTTGATTTTCTCAGACTTGTTTGTTGCTAAGGAAACCAGGTTGCCGATTGTCAGCAGCAGCTGAGCATACTAAGATGCTTTTCTGCTCGTCTTTTTATGAGCAAAAAGTTTAATATGCTGCTGGAGGAGAATTTGTATTGAGGGTCTTTTGAAACCAACTTTACCTGAGATTTTCAAACTAAAAGAAATGTTCCAATATTTAAAACTTCGAATTTTCTACATGCCTGGAGTTAGACTAAGGGGGTGGGTTTAGCATGTTGTTCCTGCCTTTTACTTCCCAGGTTCCTATAAAACTGGTGGTTTTATTTTGGTTCTCTTCTACTGTATACTATTTTGCAGCCCTTGCTGAAAGGGCCCTGTGAATTCAGGTTTTTACAGCAGTTAATTCTGTTGTGATACTGAAGTGAGATGATCACAGCTTCATACAGGACATAAATGCATGTGCTACTGTATTTTTTGCTTTGCTGGACCATGGTGCTGGAATGAGACACAGCAATTCTAGAGGAAGAAGGTAGAATGATTTGGGATCTCTAGCCAAGAAATGATGTGAAGTTGAGGACATAAGGTATAACCGTAAATGACCTCTCAGGGACATTTTATTTTAAGTGATTTTGCAGTTTCCTTTATGTTCAAATATTATTGTAAATATCAACATTTAGCAGTGAATATTTTTCTATTTTTTCCACATAAATTTAATTTAATTCAGTGGGTAGTACTTTACACGGAACTACTTTTTCTTTCTTGTCAGGCAGTTTACACCAGCAGAAGGAAGCACCTAAGGAAGTGTCTTGCCATTGTATTTAGTTTGGGGTGTTTTATGATTTTTGTAAAAATTATTTTTATTATTTAAAAAACAGAAGGCAGAATTGTAAAGCCTATTTTAAGGCAGGTATTCAGTCTGAAACAATTAGCAAACCATTTACCTCTGGTGGATCTTTTTTTGTTCCAGCATTAATATCTCAAGTTTTCTTGTTTAGAATTGTTCAAGGTTTGTTTTGCTTTTTGTAATTGGTCCTGTACATGTTTACAGATAAAGGCACTTAGTCCCATTAATAATATAACAAGCTAATTATTACGTATTGACATTAAAGGCAACAAAGGGAAATAATCTCAAGTTTTCTGAATATTTGATTCCTTGTGAAATGGAGCAGATTTAGAGCTGATGAAACCAGGACAGTTTCAAAGATTTTAGCATTCTAAATTTTGTTTTATAAATGTTTGTCAGCATTTATTAAACTAACAAAGTAGTTTTTCTAATGACCAAGTATTTACATGGTCTATTGAGTTGTTGCAGTTCAGGAATATTTTTTTTTCCTTTTTACAATGACTCTTGAGAAACATTTCTTTCATTTACAGTGTCTTCAGCAAACACACCTCCTATTGATTGTCGTCTGTTTAGAAACAGCCTCGTTTTGGGTTTTAAAAGGTAAGGTTGCTATATGAATGCCTTTTATTTTTTTTTTTCCTCTGTAGCAAAGTTCCCTCTCTTTTTTGCCTCGTTGAGCACAAGTCTGTGCAGTCTTTTGCTCCACAGTCCATGTTTGAAAATAGAAAAGCAGCATTCCAGGTGTAGCAGGTGATATTGTTGTTCCTCCCTGCCTTGCTATGTATTAAGTATACATTTGAAGTATTCCAAATGGTAGATGAAAAAGAACTTCACTGTTCTTGTTTGTTCTGTGGTATTTGCCAGTATATAAACTTAGGGTAGTAAACATTCAGGAGTTTATTCACTGTTTTTGTTTATAAACTGCTGTGCTAAGATAATGGTTCCCTAAAGATTATCACTGTTAACCAGTAAAGTAAATGGGTGCTTAATGAAGACTGAATACCAGTAGGAGCATGGCATATCCTGCCACATTTGCTGGCTTTCTGTGCCCTCTGGTTTTACATGACTCCTGCATGGTCTCATTTAGCACCTAGTGTTGTGCTGCATTGCCAGGTCATTGTACTCACAGCCATGTGCTCCCATTTGGCAGGGAGGGCTCCTTGCTGACTTGCAGGGTTGTTTTAAGCTTATACAGGTATATGTGAATTAGAAAGCATTTCTATCATGCACTGCTTGCCCCAGTCAGACATTTAGGACTGTGAATGAGGGTTGTTTTCAGCATACCTATATCATGGGGAGCCAGGGAGGTCACTTAATGTTACTCAGGACCAGAGTTTGAGAGCTGATTTTGTTGACTGAGTTATTTCCTAAAATTTTGTAAGGACTATGAGTTAGAATTGTGTGTAGGTTGGATATTAGTCAAATATAACAGGTGAGTATGACCAAAATAATTTCCTAGTAAATTGCATGTTCTGTCTAGGTGATTCTGCTTTACCATGGGAAGAGGAGAAAAAGCAAATCAGTGTTAAAATTTAGTTAACTAGGCCCTAGCTAACCTTGACGTCCAATGGACAAGTGAAATAATGTTTTAGATCCAAGAAGGGTGTTTTGCTATTCCTTTTAGTAGTCAGCCCCAGAATTATCCACTTCAGATCTATTAATTAAAGTAACAAATTTTTGGTAGACCTTCTCTTTCTGTAAGTATTGATAAATATGCAATTGGAATACTTCTTAGACTGGAAAGGAAACCATGTTATCCACACACAACCAACACTGGCATGAAATATCCCTTCTGGTGGGTAACTGTGCAGGTGTTCAGAATGTGCTATAAAGTATCTTTCCAATGTTAGCAGCTTGCTAGCAAGTCAGTTTCTGAAGAACCAGACTCTCCCCAAATGAAACAGTTACTCCTCTCAGTGGGGGAACAGTCACTACTGTTGTGATTTCAATAGTTATTGGACATCTGGGTTAAAAACTCAGAATTCTGAGGGAAATTAAGGTTGGGCATTTTTTGGTGGGATTTTTTCTGGTTGGGTTTTTTTTTTCCTTCAGATTTCCTTGCCACTTGTAAGTGTGGCATAATTTGTTTATTTCTTTGCCTTTATTGCTGCTTGGCTTCAGAAACAATGTACAAGGTTGCCTGTGCCCAAAAATCACCCTTTGTTTCTGAAAGTGTGCCAACCCACATTTCCTTTTCTGTTTTAAACTTAGTGGCTAGAACAGCCTGAACATGAAACTCAAGGGTATGATAGGATAGAAGAAAAGAATAATTGTACCTTTTGTAAAGACCATAGCAAAATTTTATGGCTAAATGCTGGTCTCGAGTGTTCAAATGAGCAGAGTTTAGGACTGGCGTACAAAAGTACAGGGTAGGGACACCAGGGACACATGAACAATGTCTCTGCCAGACTAGTTTATGGATTTCTGTTCAAACTGCTCTTCTCTAGTAACTGCTTCAAAGTATTCCCATTCTGCTTGCCTGATGTACCATTACTATTTCAGAGTCAAGTACTTTAGGAAATTGATGCATTTGATATCTGCAGTTCATTGTCATGCTGTCAGTGGTGGAGTGAGTTCACCCAGGAAAGCTTAACTAACCTCACAGATAGCATTTTGTTTTCCCTCCATGTGGACCTGCATTTGACTCGTTTTCAAATAAAAGTGGCAGTTGCACGGAAAGAATAAATGTTTCATAGGCTTGAAGGTCCTAAATAAAGTCCTAAACCTCTGTGAATACTTTCGAGTTTTTATGCATCTGTTCAGACTGACTTCTTATTTCCTCTTATGAGAATTATAGGAAGAGAAAATCAGGTCATAAGTTTTTGTTCTCTTATCCTCATCTAGGTTAATGCTGTTTTATAGCTGTCAAGAAGTTATAGTTCTTGCAAAGTTAGAGCTTCTACTGAGAAATTTGATGTTCTACAAATTATAGGAATACATCAGGTTTTTTATACTTCAGAGAACTGGTTTACATTAAGTTGTCAGGGGTTTATACTCTAATGAACTACTTGACATTTGATTTTTGGTTGTAACCTCATGATGTGCTGAGAGGTGTTCTTTATTATTTTTTTAATGTTACCTGTTTATCTCACTATAATGAACATAATGCCTTAAGATAGCTGATCACTTTCTTTTTTTGCATGTTCTAAATGCACTTATAGCTTCCTCTAGTTACCTTTCTGTACTAAAATTCCAATGCCCTAGCAAATTCCATGTATTGAGTGAGCTATGTTAAGTACAACTTGTTTGAGCTAAGCTTATTTTCTTGAAATGCTAAATAGAACAAAGTATAAAATAAAATAAAAAATTTAGCATATGTTAAGAAAATTGAACTGAAAATTAAACACATTCTTTCTAGTCTTAGTTATCTCTTCGGAATGTTGCATTATTTTAACTTGCTTAGCAGAAATTATGACCTTATACAGTATAGTAAAAAGTCCAGTAGTTATTTTGTACTGAGTTAATTGAACAGTATGAGGCAGTTATTGTCTTTTAATTTAATCTAAATAATAAGATCTTCAGTGTTAATGTTCTGTGTTGTTTTAAAGAAAGATCCAAGAGTAAAGTCATTTTGTTGCTTCTAATTTGTTATCTTTTGCTGCCCTCTTCAGCTCAAATGATGTACAGCTCTGGAGCAAGGTAAGTAGAGATAAAACTACATATAAAATCAAGATTCTTTAGGCACTGCATGTTGATGGTGCGTTACTGTGTGTCTGAATTCCAAGCCTGATAACGGTAGACCTGATTAATTTGAGCAAAACTTTTGTCAGTGGTAGATTGTACAAGTGTATAAAATTGAGTTTGCCAATTGGACAGTTAAGTGTAATTGTGAAAAATCAAGTGTGCTGTTACCATGTCATGTGGCTTATGCTGCTGCAGTTGCTAGATCAGTATTGTTAGAGCTGCAGATAGTGGTGTAGCTTCTGGAACAAAGTCTGCCATGGTTGTGCTGTCTGACATCAATTCACTTTTCTGCTCTCCATAAACTTTCTTCCTATCTCCACACTACTATTAGTAAAATACTAAGGCACATTAGTTTTTCAACGTTTCTGTCAAATAGCTCAGAACATGGAAGGCAAAGCCAGATAAAAGAAATCAACTAGATGAAATCAAGAGGACATGACTGATCATCCTGCCGACCCTGGTATGGGCTACAGGAGGAAAACATTTTGCAGATCAGTAAAATAGAGGAGAGGTTGGCAGATACTGCCTGGGATGTTGTTACAGAATTTGGGAAGGGATGCACTGTGCTTTTTGCTTTAACTCTTGAGTACTGTAACTGCTGACTAATAAACTAGTAGATGGCTTGCAGTATGGTTTTGCTTAAAAAATCTTGGAATGAAATGGAAATTGGGATTTGGAAATTCACTGATTAATGATTTACATAAATCAGGTACAGCTTGTGAGGTTCAGAGGTTTTTGCATTTGACTACTCTTTCCTGTTGTGTGATAATGCTGGTGAGAGGATGTTTTTGTCCTTTGCCTCTATCCTTCATTTTTTACATTTAAAAAAGCAAAAAGAGAGGGCAGGGAAAGAACGAAAGGGGATCTCTTACTGCTCTCATTATGAAATTAATTTTGAAGGACAGTCAGAGGACTAAAGTAACGGTGGTCTGCATGTGAAGTAATTTCTAGAGTTACTTCTGCTCTTTTTCACTATGGAAGAAGGATAAATTTTGTTGTCTTTGTAAGTAAGTATGTGTATTGAAGTTGTAGAATGAGAAATACTAACTTGGGGAATAAACAGGTACTTAGAATTCAAAATAACATCATGCATTCTTTTTTTTCTGTAATCAATCCCTTTTAGTATTGTGAGATTTGATTCAGAACAACTTTTATGATTTCCTTGGGTTTTATTGTAGTGTGTGTTGATTTGTCATAGGAAGATGAGGGCAAAAGGGCAGAAGAAAGCTGCAGTTTGGCTCTGCACAGTGTCCATGGTATTGGTAGAACAAAAAGTAATAGATTCAATTGCACATTTGGTATTGTCTGGATTTATTTATCAGTTTTCATTAATAATTGAAGGTGAGGGTTCCTTTTCTTTTTTCATTACTTGAAACACAGCACTTTGACAATGAGAATGCATCTTCCTCTAACTTCTCTTTGAGATTGCATTCTAGAATCATGGCAGATAAAAGAAAAATTCTTGAAACACAGTTTTCAGTTGAAGATTAAAATCGTAAAGATGATTTCATTTCCTTAAGGACAATCAAATGGACTTTTCAAGTGGTGCAGTTTAGGTTAAAGTATTTGTAGGTAGGATGTGGGGTCTTTTGGGTAAATGTTTTTCCTTTGAGGGACGTAAAATCCATGTATTTCTTCAGTTTGTATCATAGATAAAACATGTCCTAAATTTAGTCGAATGCAATTAATTTTTATGGATGCATATTTTGTCATTCAAAATTGCACTTATTTAAAACAGCTTTCCTAGCTACCGTAAATGTAGCAGAGCATGGTAAATAATGTTCCTTTATTTTCTGTAGGTATTTGCTTCTTTCAAATTTTAGAGAAAATAAAAGACTTTATGGGACAATTTCAGGCTTTTGGTAAATTGGAACATAATTGTAGCATCCCCAGGAGTGACACTGGTTAATATTTACTTTAAGCAGTGTCTTAGGGTGGCTAACTTTCTGTAGAATGATACATAAACAGAATACGAGAGTGTCTCTGTCTTAATGCCATACCTCAGAAAGCATTTCTGTTTGCAGTATTTTTTTTCAAGGAAAACCTATTATTTACAAAAAAACCCCTTTGTATTTCTTAGGGAATGACTATGATGTGGTAAAGAATAATACTTTAACAGAGAAATGCTTTATTATTTTGAGAATTCAATTTCAGATACTATTTGTCCTTGCTTGCTTCTTTTGGCTGCAATGTACGATTATTCTGTCTTACCAGATAACAGAACTGTTGTACAAGGATGAACGTTATTGCCTGACGCCTCCAGGACCAACTGGTAGAGTTTCAATTTCTATGATTGTAACTTATCCACAAATCTGTTCTTCTGTGTAATGATGGGTTTGAGGGATTACAACAGTAAACACTGATTGCTTCTTTTTGAAAGTGAAATTTGAAAACATGTTGGGTAAAATCCTGATTCAAATAATCAGAGCATATTTTGCGAGATCTGTGAGATTTTTTTTTTTAGAATTATAAACAAATCTTGCTGATAATGATTTAGTTTTCTAGATTTATAAACCAAAATGGAAATGTAGAATGAATCCAGTATCAGTGCTTAAATACCTTAAAAAAAAAAAAAAAAAGATTAAAATATGCAGTCTTTCAACCTAGTTTTACCTTTAGTAGCTGTTCTGATTTTGTGAAGCAAAATGGTATTTAATATCCCAAATCTTCTACTTTGAAAGAAGTATAAATTTTTGGTTTCATGTTTTGTTTTGTTTTGTTTATTAAAAAAAGGGTTGGTTCCCCACCCCCCTACCCCTCCCTTTCAGAGCCAGAGGGGCAAGGGGGTATGGGGACAGCAAACCTTTGAGAAGAGAGTACTTGGTGCTCTTCCTGTTCTTGGCTGCAGAACCACATACACTTTTGCACCTGCACGGATAAGAAACTTAGCACTATTTGCTGAAATCTGTCCATCTTGATTTTCATTGGCTAATAGACAGTTTCTTCAGTATTAGTTGATCTAATGCTTGAAATATTCTTTTGTATGTTATTGTATTAATATTAAGATACTCAGTGTAGCATGGTACTGGAATATAATGGATAAAATGTACAGAATAAATATGCAAAGTGTTAGAAATCTGTTTTTTCTTTTGAGCAATGACAAAATATTTGTGGCAACTATTTGGGGTAGCGGGCAGGAAAGGGGGGGAAGGCCTTGGGCAGTACCACTTCTGTCACACAGTAGTGGAAAAAAATAGATTGAAGTAAGATTCTGTACTGAAAAGCTGTCACTAGGTCTGAAAATAATTAATATTCCTTTCACTCACCAGTTAGATATGTGCTCCCAAACCACATAATCTCTATGCCTCAGTGATCATTGTTGCCATTTCAGAGCCTCTCATCAGGGTGACATCTCACACCAAAATGATTTCTTATAAATTAATCTTGATAACATGACAGTCTCGGTAATTTTAGTGGAATGCTTTCTCTTGTTTTTTTCCACAGAAGCTGTTGGCTATTTTCTTTATCACTTGATTGACAGCATGAGTGACTCAGAGGTACAGGCCAAGGAGGAGCGTTTGAGACAATACTTCCATCAGCTGAAGAAGATGGTACCATTTCATTTTTTGCTACATAATGCCTGTCCTGCCTGACATGTATCTATTAGGTTTGAAATTGCTGCTTTTAAGTACAACCAGACCACTTCTCAATGACATGCAAGAGCTGGAGACTTGAATTACGTCTGAGATAATTTCTGTTAGACAAATTTCAGTTTGGTTGTGTTTCAAAACTCATATAATTTTTTTTCCCCACCTCTTGGTACAGAATATAGTTATCCCTACAACCCACTACAGCGGCATTTGCAGACTGCTGGAGTCCTCTCAAGTTCCTGAATTAATTAAGGTCTGTGGTTCTATACCAATTACTTTGAATCTAAAAAAACTGTGCATATATTCTCCTTTGCAAAATAAATACTTTCATGCAGTGATTATATGTAAGCCTTTTAAACTTTCCATGATTTTTCACTGTTGAGGACGGTTTCATTTCATATGTGGAAGGGATACATTTAATAAGTGTTTTACCAAGTGTAATAATGCTGCAGAATACAGCTTTTTTGAACATTGCTATTATATAATTATCTTCAGCATTTTTAGTATGATGTGCTTACTTAGAGATTGAACTTTTTTGGGGGGGGTTTAGTGATATTTTTGTCTTACTTCATTTTAGCATGCAAGGTTACTGTCTCACAGAAAATCCCTGTCTACAGACACCATTCAAGAAGTAAGTAAATTCTCAGATAGCCGTGCTTGTTCTTAGTGTATAATACTGTTTGGATATGGGGTTTAGATGAAGTGTAATCACTAGCTTTCAGATCATGGAAGTATATTAACGTTATTTCAATCTACCATTTGAAGTTCAGAGGTTACTTTCCAGAGTAGGAGTAAAGGCTACCCAGATTTTCACATAAACTTGATACTTGACCTTGGAGTTGGCTGTGGTTTCATGCCTCAGTTTCCCTGTCTGGTAAATTTTTTTTTTTCAGAAGTTGTAGTTAGTTAACAGTAGTGGTGTGAGGCTTAATTCATGCTTGTAAATTACAGTGATTCACTTGAGTGGCAGGAACCATATAAATCCATACTGCTTCTAATGGTGGAGTGTCAAGTCTTTACATCTCCGATCTGAGCGAAGTGGAGATGGAAAAAGAAACAGGCTTCTATTCCCTACTTCCCTGAACACAAAGAATTGAGGACGAGAGAAATAGTAATGTTGACCTTTGTAGATATGCGACTTAATGCTTTTTTTCTGCTAACTGTGTTCTGCCTCAAATCCTCAATTAGTGTGTACTGTTTAAACAGATAAAAGCACCTTAAATGATTAAAAAAATTTCTTAGAGTATGAAAGAAGAGGATTATTTTGTCTGTCTTTTTATTAAAGTGATCCGACAAGTTGTTCAGGGAAGGGTGTTTTTGCAATTGACATTCTTTCTGTTACCTCCATTTAGAGTGCTAAATCTGACGTGTCTGCTTTGGAGAAGAAACTAGAAATGCGAAAAGCTGAAAACCAGCCTATTACAGATGTCTTGAAACAACTCATACATGCTCTTTGTGAAGAAGAGGTATCTTAAGCAATGCAGAGATAATTGGAAACACATAGCTACATTTTTAAAGGGACATAAATGACTGTATTATGGAAAGACATAGTTAAGCAAAGACAAGTGCAGTGCTTGAGGTTTCATGGTTTGATGCTTATAAATCAAACATAAGTGCAAAAAGCAATTAAATCAAAAGGTTAACTAATTTCAGCAACACCTTGAATGGCATGTTTTGGGGTTGCTGAAGTTTGTTTACAATAATCTGCAAAGTGAATGATAGTAACAGCTGTGATAGGTTTATCATACATGCCAAATGTCCTTTCAAGCCATGGCTCCGGTCTCTTATATCTAGATTGTCAAGCAACTGATACATGCACTAGTCATTTGCAATTCAAATATTACTAGGTTGTTAATGCAGGGATTGAAATTCCATTTTCCTGCAGGAGGAAAGCTCTTCAGAGATAAAGGGTCTCTTGCCTTCATTCGGCAGGCGTCCAGCTGTAGTTTACATTCATTTAGTGTGTGTCTGTAATTTGTGGGGTATCACCACACTTTTGTTCCGTTTCTTGTTCGGTATGATCCTGCCTATAAAGCTGTATATATAGGAGCAGTAACAGTCGTGCAGATGATAGCACAATATTCTCTGTTGCTAAGAATGCAATTCAGAAAGAGTGGTTCTCAGCTGTGTGTCTCTACAATTTTACATATGAAATAAGTCTAGATGCAAACACCATTGTAAGTTCAAAGTGGTCAAATGTATGAATAGGAATTTATAGAAAAATAAGCTTCCTATGGGATTATTAAGTAGTTTCTTATTCTTTAGAAAGTAGTTCTGTTATGTGTTCTGCAGTGTACCAGGTGAAAATTGTTATGAGTTCCAAATAAATGAAAACTGTTCTAGAATTTGGGTTAATCATGTTTACGGTCTCTGGGTTAAAAAAAATATAAAAATGGGTCTTGCATTAAACCTTGCCGGAAATACAAATCTAAAGCAAGAAAATTTGTTTAGAAATCTATTCTCAAGTTAATCTAAAAGGTGTTCTACAAAAATAATAATTTCTGCAAAATAACTTTCACTCTTAAAACGTGCTAAAGGATTTACAGCACTGTGTTTTCAATGTGTGGTCTTATACTCCTAAAAGCACTAAAACAGTGCTGTAGCTGCACACTGAACATATAAGAATCATAATGTCAGATTGACTTTTCCTCTAGTTCACATCTTTGCTTTGTTCCTTTTTTAGAATATGCAAAAAGCCCTTGAAGTGAAAGCCAAATACGAACCGGACATGGTTGTCGGTGGCTATGCAGCCTTAATAAATTTGTGCTGTCGACATGATAATGTAGAAGAGGCAATGAACCTGAAAGAAAAAGTGTAAGTACACCGGCACTGAAACATGTCACAGAGATTTATGCTGATACACAGACCTTGTTGAATTAAGTAGGTTGAGTATTAACCCCCTCATCCATTTTTAATTAGTTTTCCCCACCAATGTATGTGCATTTAAAACAGTCATGGGTGTGGTTTTTTTGAGACAAAAAATTTGCTTTATATAATTGAACATTAGAAGTAGCTGCTTTGTGTGGTCAGTCATTTTTTTTGATTTTTATTTTTTAAAGGCAGGTTGCTATGTAGGATATGTTTTATTTTTATTTTAAACATATGTAGTGTCTAAATTGAAGTTTGGCTTAATTTAAAGGGGAAAATGTGTACCTGTATTGTGTGTTAGAAAGCACCTAGAACATGTTTAGAATGCTCTACACCTATATTGTTTTTAGAATAGCAGTGTTTGAATAACATTATTTTAAGACTGTCAACAAATATTCTACATTATATTCTTATATTCACAGCTTTGTATCCTGGCTGTAAAAGTTAGCTCCTAGCTAAAACATGCTATGCATGACTTATCCCAGGGCAAATTCTTACAGATTTGCTTCTTGTCTTTTTCCCTTGAAAGGCACCTTTTGGTGTGATGCTACAATGAATATAGAACAAGTTATGTGTTACTTTCAGGTTCTCTCTCATATGCACCCACTAAATATTTGCTTTGGTTTTACAGTAGCTCTGCAGGCAGGTGCTTATTACACCTTGCTAGTGTTTGAAATTATGTGAAATGATTGAGCTATGAATAGCAAGAAATTTGCCACTCTGCGAATAACGATTGTGTATTGGTTTTGGCTGTACTACCACTCTCTCACTGTCCCTATAGTGAGCTTGCATGAAGTAGAATTGAGTCTTCTGGTGGAGTTTCACAGTGGTAGCGCATTTTTACTGCTGCTGCCTCAAGTGTGGCATAATAATGAGGAGAAGTGGCTCTTTGAATTGTCACGAAAAGGAACAACAGTGTAAGAATTAACTTTTAAGACTTCCAGAGAAAAGTATACAAACACATAGCAAAAACTTCATAATAGTAGTTTTTAACTTACTACTGTATGTGAACAGTTTTATTTTTCTTATCAAAAAGAATATACTCCTGTCCAGCCATGTGGACTATGCTTTCTTCCCGGGCTTCTGAGAAATACCCTGTTTTATGCAGTAGCTCCCAAATAATTTGTTAAACCTTCTGGCTGCCTCTGAAATATAACCTTTGGCTTTTGAAGGTTGGAAGGTGTGTGTATAATACTTTTAAATCATATTTTAATGGTGCATCTCTTAAATTCTGTCTGGTTTTTCCTGTAAGATTTACTGTGTTTTTTTAGCTTTCAGTGCTGGTGGTGTTTTTACATGATTTTAAAAATAAATCTTTAAGCTGAATCCGATTTTTCCTGTAAGATTTACTATGTTTTTTTAGCTTTCAGTGCTGGTGTTGTTTTTATGTAGTTTTAAAAATAAATCTTTAAGCTGAATCCATAAAATGCGAGTCTCTGTTGATACAATTCTTAATGTTTTAATTTCTAGTTTCCCTAAGAATTCACCTGTTGCTCTTGACGCTGGAAAGTACATAACACTGGCAGAAGCCTTACAAAAGCATGGTAGAGTAGAAGGTAATCCATTTGCTTTCATTGTGTGTTTCTGCTATATAATAAAGGTATCTTGCCTCAAGAATAAAAATGTGAGTTGATATTAATGGTATATCATGTCCTGAAAAGTGCTTGAACATTTTGCATACAAATTTGCATGTGAATTCAACCAGAGATGCTTGGACAGTGCAGGCCATTAGTTTTAATGGATTGGCAAGCTTGTCATTTACATTTGCACAGCTCAGTGCTTTTTGCATTTCTGCAGCTAGTTTTTATTAGCATTGCTGTTTGGATTGAGTTTGAAGATCATGACTTATGGCACAAATTGCGTATGTGCCTAGACTAATGGCTTTGTTTTTGCTTAAGAAGGTCTGAAGGCTGAACATAAAACCTATAAACATAACCTTCTCATAAGAGCCAAGTACTGCAAAAAAATCATTTAACTTTTTAGAAAGTATATATTTTTCTGTTACTATTCTTTTATGTGTTTGTTACTGAATTTTAAATTCAATCTGTAAACTGCCTGGAAATTTTGGCTTTTAATGAGTGTTCTGCAAACTGCCTATTTTGTATTTCTAGATGCTTGCATTAATCTGTTAGCACTTTAATTTTTGTAATTTCGTCTAATATAATTCTGTGGTTTACATGATTTGGCTGATCTTTAACAGAACTCTAGACTGTCATCAACTTTAAAAGGTTATTCTGAATATTGAGTTCTATGATTTTGTAGAAGACTTAACACTGTAAAAGCACAGTCCAAGCCTAGACACAAAATGTTACAGTTTTATATAAAACGCTATACAATAAAATAAAAGAACTGATGTCATTTTTTTCCTGTAAAGTCTTCGTGTAAAATGAGTCACGGCTTTTTATTAAACTTATTGTTAGAAAAATAAGAAACAAAGCTGATGTTTTCCAAATCATACTAAATAAATCAGATCATGACCACCTCTACATTAAGCAGTTTGGAAAGATGAGCTTGTTTCTAAAGGCATAAATGTCCCTCAGAAAATAAAATAATTCATAAATGTAGCCAAATGTAAAGTGGTCAAAGCATTCTGTGTATGCAATAATTAAGAACATTATAAAAACGCACTTATTCCATGTACCAAAATGTTTGTTTCTGCCTTACTAATGAAGCTTAATGAACCTAATGTTTTAACATGCAGTCTGTTAGAAAGCTTTCATTGGCTCTCCTTGGCTAATTAGTATCGACACAGCAAACAGGCCCTATCGGTATCAGACCATTAGTCTGGCTGTATATACAGTGTAAACATATCTTTATTATCTGGCCTCGTGACAAGCCATCTGCTGAAGAAACAATGGAGTGATTTAGCAGATGTTAGCATTGAACGATAAAAGCATCCATTTAGTAGAATCTTGCAGCCATAGGGCAGACTGTACAGGGTTATGTGGTGCAGAGTGGGCACACAGTTCCTATCTATAATTTGTAGTCAAAGTTGCAGCAAAATGATAAAACCATGCTATTGTGGATTTATAATTGTAGTCTCGTTTAGAAATGCAAGTAGTAATTAACTTGAAATCGGCATTATACACCAGAATTTACATTC